AACTATTAAAAGTGTCGAAAACAATGGCCTCCGCTGGACTACACCGTGAGAAGTACCTGCTGACCTTGGGCATCAAGCACGTGCTTGATGAGAGTCATGGTAACACATCACAAATTAAGCCTTTTTATTGTAAAATGATTGAAAGAGAATTTGTTTGATCATAATTGTGACATTTTATCGTCAATTTTTGTTAACCTTGTTGGTCACAAAATCTCCTATTTACTGTCGTTTGTTGCCACAAGCCAGATAATGACATTTATTAAATTTAATAAATATAAATGTATGTCTAAGGATTTTTTCTGCTAAATCATTAATCAGTGTGTGATAAATTACAGGGAAAGAAATTTGTATTTTGTAATTAAAATGTTCCAAGAAATGATTTAAGACACAGTTTGTGACCATTTGTACGACGGAGGATTAGGGCCACGTTAAAAAAAAATTGTATTTTAAATTTCGAGATTAAAGTAAAAAATTTACGAGTTTAGTCTCGAAATTTAAAAAAATAATATTTTTTTTAACATGGCCCTAATCCTCCGTCGTATGTTTGTCCAATATCAGACAAAAAATAAAGCTTCAATCTGAAAATACTTAAATGGTAAAATAGAATTCCAGTGAATCTTAGTTACAGTCTAAAAAAATAACTCAAACGTGATCATTTTAAAGCTGCTGTGAGGATCTTTTAGTAACACGTGTCCATCTTTGCAACCCCTGTGTACAAAGCAGTATGTTTTATATCATTGCTGTCCTCTACATGTGAGAGTGGTGTTCTGTTTCATCTCTCTGTTTAATCGTCTCGTCTGATGCCTAGTACCCAGTCGCAGCAGTACCAGGCATTCAAATAAATATGTAGTAATGATCAATCTCTTCACCGATGGTCTTTTGTAGGTCATGAAGAGTTACGCTAAAAAAGACGAGTTCACAGATTCATAGGCGTTTGTCATGTATGCACAATCCTGTCAAGAGTACATGTAACTGACGTTTTCCTATTTTCTTTGCTCTGCTTTTTGAAGATTTGCTGAGGCCAGGACGAGTTCTTCAGATGCTTGCTTCAAACCTGAGGAACAGGCCTCTGAGCTTTATGGACACTGACGCCCTGTGCCTGTCCATCTTCAGCCTGTACCACGACCTGGTCACTGGTTCAAGGGAGTACCCATCTTATCAATTTGAAGGATTCATCAAAGCTCGCCTGATTACCACACCCTTTGGAGATCCCTGTCTGAGAGAGAACACCCACTCTCCTTTGATGGAGGCTCCAGCTGGTGTGATGGCGCCTCCTGCAGGATCCAACCCTCCCCCTCCAACCATGAAGACTCCAGTGCTTCCCGAGAAGATGGACTTTGCGACCCTGATGGTCGACCGGGATAACCACATCTCTACCATGAAGGTCGATGACCGTTCTTTCATCAGAGTCATCTCCACTATATACGCCTCTGATGGCACCGAGCTGCCCAACCGCTGGAGAGTAACTGACTACAGTAAAGACGGACACATCCTCATGTCGGTCCTCTGTCGTTTTCTCAGGAAGTCGCGAAGGTATGCACGGACTCCCACACAGGAGAAGTGGAAGGCTTCAGAGGATGAGAGCAGCAGCAGCAGCAGCCAGTCTCCACCAATGAAATGCTTGAGACTGTGAAGGATATTTGACCTGATGCAGCTTTTTGAGCCTTTGAGGATTCAGCTTATGGACTTCTACCTGGATACAAGCTCTCCTATCAGAAGAACATGTTTGGCTGAGGGTTTCCTATCGTAGGTCCTACACATGTATATAGTTTATGTCTTTGTGGTGGTCGCACACGGGCCAATGATTTTTGTGCTTCTTGCACATTTCTTGATTTCTTTGCACTGGCCTGTGTGTGCTCATGATGGCAACTTGGAGAGAGCTTTGGGAAGCTGTGACTGTATTTTATAAATTGGACTCATCACAAAATTTAGGCTTCACTTTACTTGCTTAAGGTTGTATCAGTGTTGACACTACCCTGGAAGCTCGCATGAATGGAGTCTGGGTCTGTTAAAGTTGACGGTTTGGGTTACACTGGCCACTAGGGCCAGGGGTGGGTAAGTAAGTCATCAGTAAGGGAACAATTTGGTTGAGGAGTTTCTTCATTGAGAGCTTATCCTTTTCATTTCAACAACGCAACTGATCGACTACAGAGAAGTAAGAGGACGAGGAGGATGAAGAGGTTGATAAAAGAAGAACAGGAAGATACAGGGACGGCAGCTTGTGGTGTTGTGGATTTTTCTGTTGGTAATAAAAGATCTCAAGTCAAAGTATTTTTGTCTGTCAGTCACAAGTGCATCAAAGAGTCCCGGGGCAGTCCCGGTTTCAGAGCATATTTATACTTTCACAGGCTGTAGGTATTTTGCATATACATGAGTGATACATCGTCATTGGTTTCAGCTTGCCCTAGTGACTACGCCTTCTGCTAGTTTGCCTGGTGATTTATCTATGCAAGCTTCTTTCTATAAGGTACCTGGTACGGAGGAACACCAACAGAAAGTCCTTTGTTCAGAGGGAACTGATTTAGGATCATGCTGTACCCAGATCCTGAGGAGTGTTCCTCTTGGAGATACAGACCAAGGCCATGCAGAGAGACTGTTTCTAATTGCTAAATGACGCACGAACATCCTAATCTTTTAAGGTCAAACGAAGGCAACAGACAGATAGTATTTTTCCACTAAAGTGGTCTCTCCTATTTGGATTTAGTATCTGGAACGTTAACAGCTGGATTATTGTGACCTCGGAAGGCTGGTCTCTGCATCTGGCAGGACTAGCACTGCCCCATTGTCTTCCACCAGGACCCCATGATGCCCCATAACGAGAACCTGAGGGTTTTTATTGTAAATATGTATTAGTTTATGTCGTCATGGTGGTGGTACTCAGGTCAGTGATTTTTGGTGCATCTTGCACATTTCTTTATTTCTTAGCGCTGACCTTTATGTAAGACACGGGGGGGATGGGGGGGGGATTCTTACTGTATTTCTAATTCTGAGGACCAGACCAGCCAGCCGGATAAGAAGAGACAAGAAGAGGAGAACTTTTATCATTTTATACGACAACTATAAACACACACACTACTTGAGACCAGATGAGACCAGAGACTTAGAACCAGGACACTACCCGAGGACCAGATGAGACCAGAGACTTAGAACCAGGACACTACCGAGGACCAGATGAGACCAGAGACTTAGAACCAGGACACTACCCGAGGACCAGATGAGACAGAGACTTAGAACAATACTCCCATAGGACCAGATGAGACCAGAGACTTAGAACCAGGACACTACCGAGGACCAGATGAGACCAGAGACTTAGAAACAATACTCCCATAGGACCAGATGAGACCAGAGACTTAGAACAATACTCCCATAGGACCAGATGAGACCAGAGACTTAGAACAATACTCCCTGAGGACCAGATGAGACCAGAGACTTAGAACCAGGACACTACCTGAGGACCAGATGAGACCAGAGACTTAGAACAATACTCCCTGAGGACCAGTGAGACCAGAGACTTAGAACAATACTCCCTGAGGACCAGATGAGACCAGAGACTCAGGACAGCTGGACAGGACAACCGAATTGACTACTGCTGTAAAACATAATAATAATAATAATAATAATGATAATAATAATAACTTTATTTATATAGCACCTTTTAAAAACACAGGTTTACAAAGTGCTTTGACAAACAGCAAAAACAAGAACAAAGCAAACTAAACCAAACACAGAAGAACATAAACAACAACAAGAACATGACAAATGAAAAATACTAAAAATAATCAAATACAATTCAACAGAAAAGAAACCATATTGCATGATACCCAACAGACATATATAACCTGACCATTATAAGAACCATCATAAGAACCCAGGCAAAACAAGAAGAAAACATGGATTTAAAAAAAGTGATGTTGCACCACTCCTATTTTCCACCAGATGGCGACCTGCACTTCCAATAAGCACCTGAGTACCTCTGCATTTTGTGCACAGGGCTGCCTGTTATTTCATGTTGTAGAAAGAAAATATAATTCTATTTTAAATTCTGTATGTTCAGCCCGACTAATGAGCTAGTACTGAAAGAGAATAACAGCAAAAGCGAGACCAACAGGTGCAGTTTAACTTGATAAAGATGTATCCTACTTTGAATAAGTAGGCTATAGAGCAGTGGTGTCCAAACTTTTTACTTTTCAAAATTGTTGTGTTAGAATCGCTCACGGGCCACAGGTTTTGTTTTTTAAAATATAGTTGAAAAAATAGTAAGTCTTTGTAGATCAGAATCAAAAAGCTCGCTAAAGAAACCCTTTAATAAAAGGAAATCAAATATTTTGATTTCTTCGTTCTACTTTATTTGTTTTTTTCTCAGAATCAAACCTGTAACGTGGATCATTTTTTTTTGGAAAAAGCTTTCTACAGTCCGCTTGTTTGCAAAAACTTTGCACATGTTTTTTTTTTTAAATAGTAAAAGCTGTAGATTTAAAAAACATCTACAACAACATACATGCTACTGAACATTCTCTATTTTAGGAATATTGTTCAGCCCTTGTTAACATGAAAAAGAAAAATAAGATAATGTGCCAATCTTAATCAAGGCCTCCCAAAATCTTCTGATTCTTTATTTGAAGTCACGGGCCGCAGAAAAATCCCCTCAAGGGCCGCAAATGGCCCTCAGGCCGCACTTTGGACACCCCTGCTATAGAAGCTTATTACAGAAGGAAATAACGCTTTAAATGCATAACAATAACAGTGAGTCCACCAGGAAGGGACTTAGATCAACGTATTAGATAGATGGATCCTGTAATAACCCTTCACAGGAAATGACAGTGCCACAACAGCTTGAAGACATCACACCACACATTTTATCAGATACGTTAAAATACAATAAAAAAAACTGCAAAGTTATTTTTGTGCATTACGTTTTGATAAATATTTAAATTAAATAGAAACAAACTCAAACTAAAACCAGAGAGAGAGCGCGCACGCACGCACTGCTTCCGCTTTCTAAACGCGGACGCGCGCAAATCATGATAGTTGCGTGCGCGCTTCCGTGAGGCACAGACAAAAAATGGCGGCCGCCGCCAGAATAGGTAAGTCGACTCAAGCGGCAGTTTAAACCGTTTATTTTCGTTGTTTTTCGCTATAGAGGCACGATTTTAAACACGACATAATGACGACGTCAAAGTTAAACAATTACGGGAGTTTTGACCGTAGAGTTAGAAACCTCCCCCCCCCACCACCTCTGTCATTAACGCCGCTAGCTAGCTCGTTAGCTCAGGAAGCTAGTCCACTGTGTTTGAGAAACAACCGGCTGTCCTCGATGTAAAATCAGGCGCCGTGAAGCCTTTCGGGAACATAAACAGCTACGTGAGGATTAAATCCACACGACAGGCCGCTGTTGTTGCCGGTGTGTTCGGTACACTGTGTTCTGTGCGCGGTGACGCCCGTGATGATGAAGTTGTGGTGCTAAGGTAACGTTAGCTTCTCTCAGCGACCGGAGAGTCACCGCAAACCGGAAGAAACGGCACCGAAACGGAGCCTGCTGCCAAGTTTCTCCTCGTTTCTCAAACTGAAACACATGAAACATTCTGTGTGTGTTGGTATAATGTAGGTTCATTAAGCAGGAGTGTGAACAAAGTGATTATCAACCAGGTTTAAGGCAGAGTATTAGAAATGAGCATTGAAGACCCGGATGTTCAGAGTGTTAAAGCGTCATGAGAGTTTTATATCTTACAGTTTGGGGTGTTAACTTCATATGATGATGGTTTCTAAAACTTTGAAAGGAAAGTGGATTTGTATATTATTTATTTTCTCGTCTTCTGACTCCTCAGAGCTCTTTTTACACCGCAGGTCACAGCTTCACATTCACACACTGATGGCAGAGGCTGCTGGGTGAAGTGTTGACTGGCTCTATTCATTCACACGCCGCCGACGAAGCAGCGTATAATTTCAAAAATGAATTAATTGTAAGAGAGGCTAGAAGCAGAACATGATTAATGTCTACGTTTTGACTGTTGCACCGAGTAGATGTGCAAAATTAAATAGCACACAGGGGTCTTCTTGCAGCTGTGTGTGTGTGTTTATGTGCAAATAGAAACAAATATTGCACCTGTAATGTGGGATTTAAGGATTTTCAACACATTGTAACTTTTACAGTGAGCTCATTTTTTTTGTAGGTGTTGTGTAGTTTTTGTATATATTTCTGTCTGGACAGATACTGACTGATATCTAAGACAGATACTGAGACTTAGATATTTTAATCTTATTTTGGCTGTGAACCAGCAGAATTGCCGCAGGAAAAGTTCTACCTATTCAGCACCGGTAAGAACTGCATAAAGCTGCATTAAAATAAAAGGAGCAACCCTGAACGTGCTTTTGAAATGGAATTCATTGTTCACAGACAAGCTGATACAAGAAAGTAGAATTATTTCTACGGATAAATGCACTAGGAAAAATGTTGAAGAACAGGTAACCTGGAGGGTGACCATTCAGGATGAAAGACCTTCAGTAGCTCATGCCTGAGGGGGTAATAAGTCAGAATGTGGTTGTAAGATGAGCCTCCTTTCAGCTAGGGTTGTTAAGAGCTAACTTTGATATGATTCAATTAAAAATCTAAGGATATTGATACCGGTTTTGATACCACAGTAACAAAATGTAAGTCCTTGGCACCAAATATTGGGTAATGTCAAGAAATTGGAAGCAGATTCCCACACACACACACACACACACAGTCTAAGTTGATTTAGAAGTAGCGTTGGTACTTTTCAATATCATCAATCATTAAAAAACAGAACAGAGATTGTATCTTTTTAAAAGTGGAATCAAAACATTTGATGATGCAGCAAATGTGAGCATATCTTTTGATAGCTACGTTTGTACTGAGAAATATGTCGTGATAAAGTTGTATTCACCGTCCCTTTTTTTTCTATGTTTGAAGGCATTACAGTTCCCCGCAACTTTCGGCTGCTAGAAGAACTGGAGGAGGGTCAGAAAGGAGTTGGAGATGGTACCGTGAGCTGGGGCCTGGCAGATGATGAAGACATGACGCTAACTTCTTGGAATGGCATGATCATCGGTCCGGCAAAGGTGAGCCACTCCCGAAGCCATTGACATTCCCCAACATAATACTTGAATGAAAGGAAAATGCCAGCGTCACTGTCAACAGGGGCGGCCTGCGATGAGGGGAGTGTTGCAAAAGACAACAGGTCTTAAAATGGAGTGCATGTGGTCCAGGAGGTGTCACATGATGCGCTGCAGTTGTAGGGTAGATAAGGAGGATTGGGTGTAGTAAGGGGGGTAATTATCAGACATGATATGTACAGCATAAGCATCTAACACTTGGGCTCAAAGTAACTCATTCACTGCAAATGTCCTGATGTGTATTTTTCACAACATAGTTAAAGTATTAACACGAGGGAAATTATGGCACATGAATGTCTGCTAACTTTTTATAAAAAATATTTCAAACTATTATCCCACTTTTTTAAACTCACTTAATAATTACATTTGAAACACTGATTAACACTTGTAAAGCATCTTACAGCTGGTGGGGGGGGAGACGATGATGTCATGGCTTTGCATGTCATTTGTTAGTTGGGCCCATTCAGCTGCCCCAGTAACTTGAGTCCTGAGTAAGGTGACTGGAGCTGTTTCAATTACTCAGCTACACATGATTCAAATTCTTGGAAGTTAAACTGAGTCTAACTCTGTGTTACCTGCTACAAATTAAAAGACAAGGCACATTGTTCCAGTGGCGAGATTTGTCCTTACAAACAGGATATGTTTGCGTTTTCCCTAAATGTTGGGTAAGCTGGCACACAAGGGAAACTGCCAGTGCCTAAAGGATAAGAATAAAAATCCCAACTCAAATCCTCTCCAAATAGGAAATTAGCAACCCTAGCGGAGTTGTGCGGCACCATTGTTTATTATAATAAGCAATATAATATTGAGCTGCTATATTCTCACCAGCCGCTCCCTCTTCTTTCACTCTGTGGCGCTCGCTCTCTCTCTTTCTGAATGGTTAGTGGTTTATAAAGGAAATGTTTGCATTTTGTTTGATCAAATAAGGTGAGCAAGGCTTACATGGGCCGTGACTGGAGACATTTTAGTCGACCAATGTTCAGAGGTCGGGACTGAACGGTCAAGCTCAATCAACAAATTAATGATTATTGATATTATTTAGCTATTGGAGACCACACACGGTCACACTCCTCGACTCACCCTTTAAACTAAACCTTCTTCTTCTTTAACTGCAGACTGTCTATGAAAGCAGGATTTACAGTCTGAAAATCGAATGTGGACCTAAGTACCCAGACCACCCCCCTGTTATCCGCTTTGTGAACAAGATCAACCTGACTGGGGTACACAGCTCGAATGGTCTGGTGAGTATGAAGAACACACTAGCACCCATTCCTCAATATTAGATCAAAATTATTTTGTACCATTTCCCTCCTTACTTATTTTTGCCAAAAACAACTATTCAGTTTTTATCCGTCAGTTTTACATTTGTTTCCTTTCATCTCGACTTCCTGCAGCTGATGCATTGATCAATACTTTAACCATGTTGAGGTGTCGGGTAACACCTACACAATCACTCTACAGCCATTATGCATGTTTAAAAAAAACCCCAGCAATAATGATAGGAAACAATGTGGGATATCAGACCAACCAGTCTTACTAAACATCACGTGTAGAAATGTATAGATCTGGTAGAATTGACCACAAAACAATGGACGTAAAAAGCAAGAAAGGGCTTACTGTCTGCGTCGTTTAGATACACGCCGGGCAGCTACAGGGCCTTGCAAACCTGCGGTGTATGGTACGACTTAGATTTGTGTAAACCGGGCTAAAAGCTTTATCGTGGACATGTGCTGTCATGACTACAGGTGCAGCCACCACCTTCTGCACAAGGCCTCATGTTTTTTTTCACATTCATTGCATATTGCAATCAGCCAAAGCAAGGCGGACCAGGCTGCTGGTTTTCTCCCTCATTAGGTCTTAATCATGCATAGAAAGTGGTGCTAAGTAAATACACTTTGTGGACTGTGACATTGATTAGATTGCAACAACTCCTCAAGTAAAGACAAGATTGAGAGCTCCACTACTGTACCGGTAGCTACTGGGATTGTAAACGTCACATGGCAAAAATAGATGCTACTAGAAAGAGCTTCACAGCCGCACAGAAACTACATGTTGTGCACTGAAAGCAATAGAAATTGGAAGACAGTTAAGACATTTTTCCTTTTTCTTGGTGACGTCCCAGAAAGTCCAGAATTCATTATTATTATTCTTTTTCAAAAAAATTTGTTTGAAATGAAGATGAAGTTTGTAACCTAAAACTACAGTTTCACAAATTGAAGCCATTTGATCAGTGTTTTAATGGAGGCCTTCATTTTAATGTCGTCTCTCAGGTGGACATAAAGACGGTGATGCCTCAGACCAAGTGGAAGAGCAACTACAACCTCCGGATGGTACTGCAGGCGCTCAGACAGCACATGATGACAAAAGACAACCACAGACTGTCCCAGCCGCCTGACGGCCAGATGTACAGCAACTGAGGCTCCTGCTGCTTTCCCTCCCTGCTAAACACACACGCACGCACACACATTCACTATCAAACACACACACACACACACAAATATATATAAAAAGCATCCTTAACACTGATTCTACCACTTTCCCAAAAAAAAGCAAAACCATCATGTAATCCAAGACTCTCCACTCCCTCTTCCGTCCTTGGGGGCCTCCCATTGGACAGAGGGAAGGGTGCGCAGGTGAACCTGACATCCTCAACCAGTGCCCATTCATTATGACAGAACAAGAATACTGTACATCTTACTAATGTTATTTTTTATTATCTTTGTGTTCTACATCCTGATTGTAAAATAACAAACGACCTGATTGAGTGTACAAGTCTTGTGTGTGTGTATGTGTGTGTGTGTGTGCGTGCCAGGATTCTTCACAGTTAGTCCCTGGTATCAACTCGCCACTCAACAAAAAAACAAGTATGTTAAATGTTTGGACCATTCCGATTTTTATTTCAAACATCTTGTAGAATAATGAAACAGATTCCCCCCTGAAAGATTAAAAAAATTAACCCCCCCTAAAAAGCTTTGCTTGGATTCCTAGCCAGGGTTAGCCTCAAGTTCCCCAGCTTCCGCAATCCCGACGATGTGAATTTGACGGGCCTCTCTAAAAACGGGCGCACGTCCGGTACACGGGGATAAACTGCTACTCGACATTCAGCGGCGTATGTATCAACAGGGCACTACTGGCTCATCACTCATGTTCTCAGACTCGTCTTCTGTGTGCCATATGGTTCATAGCGCTTTGTGATAGTGATTGATTATTAGCAGCCAGTGGGAGGGGGATAGTTTAAAGGGCGATTGGGGGTGGGGGTGGGGGGGTGGGGGTGGGGGGAGGGGTACAGGTCTTTGTGCTTTTCTTTCTTCAGAGAACGTAGAGCGTACTTATAGCTTGAGTGAAGGATCACCACTGTACTGTAGTCTGTGTGGGGCAGGAGGAGCTGTGATTGTTCTCGTTTTTCTTTTCTTTTCTTTGGGTTTCTAGTTTTGGTTTCTTCAGTCTCTGGGCTAACCCGAGTCATCTCATCTCTCATACAGTAACAAAAAACAACAACAAAAAATAGCCCACTGAACGCAATGTATGGATTTGGATGTTTATTTTATAACAAGGGTTGAATCTAATCAAGGTGATGGTGACCTATTGCATGGTTTTATTTGAATTAAATGTTATTACTTTTGCATGCCTTTGTGTCATGATTCCTTTGAGCACATTTCCCTTCACTGTATCCTGCAGCGATACAACATTTGCTGAAAACAAAAAAGAGGATCGTCCTGAATGGTTATGAAAAACTTTTCATTATGGACACCTCCATTAAATTATGTATATACACTTGTGAGGCCCCAACAACAGATGTTTGTATGTTGGTCAGCGACAGTGAAGAGAATTACATCAAAAAATAACATTTTTTTTTATCATCGAATTCTCGTGCAAGTCTGAAGCTGGCATATTCTTGCCAACTGTAGACTCATAAAGCTATGGAAGCCCTGAGAGGACATGCATCCATACATTTTGTTTTAGGCCCTGTGTCCACCTAGTGTTTCATTTTGAGCGTCATCGTCTTTTTTTCAGTTGATTTCAATGAGGAGAGAGTGTTCGCAGCAGAAAGTGGCCGACCGGAGAAAAAGCGCAGCTCCCAGCTTCTTTTTTCTTCTGACCGCCCTGCGTTTTTTGTGCGGCCGCTCTGAGTGCTCAATTTAAAAAAAATCTTTTAACTTTTCAGAAAGGCGTCAAAATGTTCGATTTTCCCTGCATTTTTGCCGCATACTGATCATGTCTTGTACTCGCATCCTCTTTGCTCCGTGTCTGATCGGGTAAAAAAACAAGCTCAAATATAAAACATGCAGTAAAAAAATAATGTAGCAGTGTCGGCTACCTGGAAAAAACACTAGGTGGGCACGGGGCCTTACTCATGTTTTTCATGATAACAACGAGCTTGTCTTTGTTTTTGTTCTCAAGATAACACTGCTTTTCCTGTGATATTCATGACAGTGTGTTTCTGTTAAACATGGGAAACCCAGAGTTGTTTTCTTGAGATTACAAAAGTTGAGATCTTTAGAAAAAAACTGTAAAATAATCTTTATCACGGTAAACTGGGTGAGATCAAATGTATGGGTGTATATCTCCTTCGAGCTTACAAATCAGTTGTTTTATTTATTTTTCTTTGTTTTGCTCACAACAAAGCTAGAAAAAGTTAGCTGAACTGTTTTGAAGCCCAACCCTTAAAAACAAGTCAGAAACAGGGTCTTCCTCACTTCATTTTCTTCAGCCCTAGCTTTGTGGAAAAGCATCACACAAGTTTATCTGCATGTGAAAGGAGTCATACACTGACTAATCAGAAGGACAACTCATAACATTTAGAGCAAACTTTAATATGATTGTACAATAAATGATAATGATGAATGAATGAAAGTGATCCTCTAATGGCCACTACTAACAGAAAAAATAATAAAAACATCTTAGCTCCTGCACCTTCTCTCCATGAGATGTGACAAAGCTCCGGAGGCCCAGCGTACTCCTCATCACACCTAATGTAAAAATATATTTGTGTGAAATCAACACAGCTCTCTTCACTATTGCATCTTCCAGCTTTGTCCTTCTAAGAACTTGTAGCATAAAAATATCTCTGCAACGATCACGGTGTGGGGAGTTGTCATTATTTATGTTGTTAAAGCTACACAGCAAACAAAGCCTGCAGCTCAGAGTGCTCTACATAGAGGGAGATAGATGCACTCACTTCTTCAGATGAAAACACAGAAGGAACACAAAATAAATGATTGAGTGTTGTTATAATTATAAGGTGGAAAGAGTTAAATCAAGTGACTTAGGCTTAGAAATTCTTCTTCCCAGCACTGCACAGGTTTGACAGCAGTCAACAAATAGTGACGGCACAGAGAAATACAAAAGAACACATGACACAAAAACACATCTTTTGAGCGAGATCGGAGTTTTAAAGAAGTGCAGCTGTGCAAAAAAACACAAAAAACTACTAAGAAAGTCACTGAAGGTTAAAAACTAATTTGAAGGGATGAGTTTTTCTAAGCTCTTCTTGAGCATTCAGGCTCCAATGATATCTACCAGAATATGTAAGGTGTTCTTAAGAAGATAGTTGCATCTTGAAAGGAAAAAAGTAGCAATATAGCTTCCTGTTAGCCCGTTAAAGTCTTTGTATTAAATCTGAATTAATGCAAAAGGAAGGTTTTAAGAAGTGATGCTAAAATACAGCTTTCTGTCATTCTTAATAAACATACAATAAAATGTTGGGAAACCTGAGCTGCTGCATGTTCATTTCTCAAAATGCATCCTGCTGTTAGAAATGATCCAACAGGCTGTTTTCAGTGCCCGGCCTGTAACACTTCTATCATGGTATAAAATCTTCTACATTAAGCTCGTCTGTCGTGTGTTTTCTGTCCTGATTCACATTTATTGCTGCCAGTCTTAAGTGAGACTGGACAGAGTACCCAGCAGAGTAAGAGGGTTTTCTCTTAATACGTCACACCCCACTACATTGTGACAGGCATAAATGTAAAAAGAAGAAAAAAAAAACAAGCGTTTGGAGCGGCCTGTATCTCCACTTCTCGTCCGTCTTGCTGGTCTGACAGCGAGATGCTTCTGTAAGCGCGACCAGACGCAGCATCCCCGTTCAACAGCTGTTCTTGCTTCTATTTGCATCTTCTCTGCTGCAGGGGAAACAGGACAAAGAGTGGCACGTGACCCGAGCTCTGGGGAGAAGAGACCAGTGAATCAATCACAGTGGGTGATACAGCTGGGTGCCCTTCACTCCCATATAAACCACATACACACACACACACACAGGACTTTCAAGGAGAAACAGTCTGCTAGATGCAGTGCTGGTATTCACAAAGCCTCCTAAATACTAAGAATTTCCCTCTGAAGTTAAGACTAGATCCCTGTAAAGATGAAAGTTATTCACAGAGTGTCTTTAGCCCTTCAGAGAGCTCCTAAGGTGTGAAACTGTGACGAGTAGTGAGGAGGACTTTTAACAGGATGAAGAGTTTCTCAAGCTGAGGAGAAAATAAAGAAATGCTATTTAAACACTGAATGATGCATATTCTTATTGTATCATAGTTGGGCTGAACAGAAAAAAAAAATGTATGCAGACATATCAAAAGGTTTGTGAAAACAAGCATTCTGAGAATCCTATTAGAGAGCTCCTAATTCAGCTTTTAAAAAAAAATTCCTAGAAAGGATTTTTAGCTTCGGAGTGATTTGGGATTTATCAGAGCGACCCTGAGCGAGGAAGAGACAGAAAATGTTATCTTAGTGAGGAGGCGGGGTCGACCTTGTTTCTAGGTATGACACATGTTTTTCAGAAGTCGTTTAAAAGAAATTGAGAAAAAGAGATAATCATAGAATCTAGTCAGACATGATGTAATTATGAACACTATGCAATTCTAATCTGTGTGATCATTGGTAAAGATTCTTTAAAAGTATACAGCCTACAAGATGAAATCACATGCCCACATGTGCAGCAGCTTCTTCACATGCTGAGCGTTACATCAACATGTGAAGAGCCTTAATTAGTGATTGGATGCACCTGTGGAGGTAATCACACGGAGAGAAACTCACTTTGAACTGAATGATGTCATATACGGATTGAAATGTCTGCACAAATCATTTTTGTCTCTTCGGCCAAACTATGATTCAAAAATATTCTTCATGTAGTGATCAAAGAACATTTCTCCATTTTCTCCTCAGCTTGAGAAACTCCTCATCCAGGTAAAAGTCCTCCTCACTCCTCCTCACAGTTTGACACCTTAGGAGCTCTCTCTAAGATGTGGAATCATTTACAACTCTCTCTCAAGCTGGACTCTCTTGTTTCTCTAAAAAAACAAATTAAGACGATGATTTTTAAACCACTTTACCACAGTGTGCGATTGTTTTTTACTGAGAATCATCCTGACCCTTGACCCCCTGATCCTTTTTATTTTGTTTTTGATTTGTAACTCGGCGTTGTTGTAAATGAGGAAAACCTGTACGATTTTGGAGGCTTATATAAAAGTTTGAAATTAAGATTTACAGGGATCTAGTCTTTACTTTGAAGGGAAATTCTTAGAAAATGTGACGATTCTAAGAAGTTTCTGTCACTAGGAGCGACTCTTAGTACTTAGGAGGATTTGTGAATACGGCCTCTTAAAGTACATAAAGGAGAAATAATGAACATGACAATTGATGTTTCCTTCTTGAAGGATGATTGGATGATTCTTTGTATTTCAATGAATCAGATTTGTTTAAATGAGGACGATCTGAAAAGTTCTACTGAAATTTAACTTCTGTTCTTACCAATAGATGTGACATGTTTGCTGACTGGGGACATCCTAAAGGTGAACTCTGTCAGAGTGACACATCCAATCCCTCTAACAGCCCTAATGACAACAGGACAGCTTGGTCAGTGTGT